CTATCTTTTAACTACCAAATTACAGAAGAAAAGTATTGAAAAATTAACAAATTAACAGTTTTCAATAATTAATATAGAAACATTTCTGGAAGCCTACAAGTAACACAATGAGCAGTCACAACCTTCAAACACAGCCCCAGAAAATATACAAATATTAAAAGTACATCTAAAAATGTTTAAGAATAAATGCACAATGCATCAAAAGCATTCATTCCCTAGAACTAGAATTTTGGTTTATTTTTCAAAACTCCATTACATCCGGTAGCAGGCTTTTGACCAAAGGTGTCAATTTCAATGTTCTCATACTCTAGAAAGAAAGAAACCTGAAGTTTAGGAGCACTCCAATGAAAAATGAATATCACTACATGAAATTTTCATGGCACAATGTTGATCACTTAAAGGCATCAGCTAACTATTAAACAAATGCCACTGCATGATAGCGAACAAACCATGGAAACAATATTGCCTCATAGCCCTTGAAAGAGCAGAATTTATTGCATGATCAATCCATTAACCTTAGTCTGTAAAAATGAGATACGGCAATGATTCAAGAGATCAAAATTTTCTAAAGAGTTGCAGAGCAAAACTGTCAAAGGAGCACAAAAAGACTAAATAATTAATAGCATTCTCCTTTGGGTTGGATGTCCGATACATATTAGCAACCTAAACAACAATGTGTAACCTAAGTAAACTGCCTTCAAAAGACACCATCAGTTCGAGGAACAATTACCAACATCACCATGAAGGACCCTAAAATCTGTCAAAACTACCTATGTGAGAGTACACCGCTATATGGGCATCCAAATGGGCACATGGTTTGTGCAGCCATATGCCACACTAGTTTTTTAATATGTGCTAATATTCACAATGCCAATTCCATATTTCCAAAGAATTTCCACTGGAAGAACTAACAATGAAGACACTTCTAGTAATAATGCAAATTTATTTCATTCAGTCTAAGAAACAAGGACCAAGTATAGAGGAACCAAATGAGTGTAAACAAGGTAACAACAAAAACATATAAAGTAAAACATCACAGAAAATGAGATTGTATGGCGGTTTACATTGGTTCCACTACAGAAACCCAGTGAGTGTAAACAAGGTAACAGTTTTTCCATAATCAAGAGAGCAGATTCTTTGAAACCATACTTACTAACCTGAAACAAGGTGAGTTGAGCAGAGAGAGTTGTTGCCTCTGTTTGAAGGGTTTGAACCTTGCGTTCAAGCTCTGAAATGTACCGAGCCTTCCTTTCTTTTGATCTAGCAGCTGACTGTCTGTTTGCCAGTATCCTGTGAACAACACCCCACTTTTAGGACCTCCATGAGAAAAATCGGAAACACTGAAACTTCATAGAAATGATTATTACAACACTTGCCTAACAAAAAGAGACAAAATTATTTCCTCATAGTTTAAACGTAAAAACCCATTCCAAGAAAAAATATTCAACATACACATGAGCAGATATCCATAATCATTGAGTTTTGGAAAGCATTGAACCCCATCTATAATAGAAGTTTATAAACTAGAAATCATGAAAATCTAGCTTTGCTCGGACTAATCGGCATGCTCATGGAAAAACACAAAAGAATTCATTAGATTTAATTATCAAAAAAAAAGGCAAGGAAGTGATATGCGATGAAGCAAAGGCCTTTCCCTGCATCTTGAATGATGAACACAACAAATAAATTCAAGAGCTTTTCTTTGATTCTAATGATAATAACTAAATTTACAAAACTACTTGGGAATTTCCTCTCTGCTTCAGATCGATGGATATACCGAATTAGTGTTTCATGGAGAATTTCACAGACAAAAAGCATAAATAAAACCAAAAATCAAGAAATTTACACCAACTTCCGATCAACACATAGTATCAAAAAGTGGAGTAAAAGCTGCATTTTTCATCAAAGGTCCATCACATCTACCCACCAAAAAATTAAAATATTTAAACATTTCGACGTAACAAAGAAATAGCTAAAACAAAAATACAATTTGCTCAGAAAATAAAATAAGAAACAATAATATACCCAAAATGAAAAACGGAGAAAAACTCAACAAAAGTTAAAGCAACCCCAACAAAGTAAATAGAAAATTAATATATTTAAAAAAACACAATGTCTACCTCTTAGCCCTCTTTGGATCTAACGCAGCGAGCTCTGCAAGCTTTTCTGGAGGCATTGCCTTCTTCACCTCTGTACCCACCTCCCCAAATAGAGCCGACCCATCTACTGAATTGCTATGTCTATGCCCCCTCCTCCCCATTTCCGGTTTGAAAGAGCCTGCATTTGCAGGAAAACCCGAAATTTCACTGCATTTTGCCTCCCCTTGAACGGGCCCGAGCTTCTCCAGATCCATATAAGTAGAGAAGAAATCCTCCTCTTCTTCCTCATCATCGCATTCTGATGAGTTGGGTACTCTAGTTTGAAGGTCATGGGGCAAAGGTAGAGATAGCTCAGAGTGAGCCCTCCTGTGTGTTCCTCTAGAGAGAGAAAGGGACATGGAGGAAGCATGGGTTGATTGGGAGGTAGAGAGAGAAGAGGAAGAAATGGGGACTCCTTGGTGGTCTTGCATGGGCGAGACACACGGCTCTCTATTTTCTTCCTCGTCCTCCTCCTTCATGTTTTCTCTCCCTACATTTCTCATACTTTCTATTCGTGATGAAACTTTCTGTATCTTCTATCGGGTGCTGTTTGCATAGAGCCTAGGCTCTAAACAATCAAATTAGAGCCTACCTTCGAATAGTTTCGAAAAATGTGGTTTCGATGCTGAAAATTTTTGTCATAGTTTTAAAATATATTTTTATTTTTATTTATAAAGTTAAAAAGCTTCAAAAAAATAATATAGATGGAGATCTTGAAAACCAACGGTCCAAAACTACAAAATACACTATTTTTTCAAAACTTGAAATCTAATTTTTTGATCATGGTCATGCATCTTGATGTTGAGATGATCAATTTGAGGATACTTGAACACCAAAACAACTTTTGTTATTGAAATTTTTTAGGTAGATTTTAGTTTGATTGTTTGGAGCCTCGGCTCTATATAAACTTTTACCCTTCTTACTTTGGAAAACTGTTTGATGCGGTACCGTAATCTAGAAAGCGTAAAGCATCTATATTAAAGATGGATAAAATAAGTGCTCCATCTATTAGAATTATTATTACTAGTTTTTTAAATTTATTTAAGTTTTTATATTCTTTAAAAATTAAATCTTAAAATATCTCTCTAAAAAAAAATATTTCTACGCTTGGCCACATAGAAACTGGGTCCCATTTTTGAAAAATTGTTTCATGCGAGCCGGACCGCATTTCTACAATATGCAGTCCTAAGGTATCAAGCATCCATTTTAAAGATGGACGTAAATAGGTGGTTCATCTAAAAACAATCCAAACTAACTATCTAAATTTCTTTTTTTATAAAATCATTATTTGTATTTGTTAAAATTTACTTATGGTTTTATATTCATGATCTCCATATTAGAGATTACATGTCCTTAAAAATTGGGTCCGAAAATCCATCTCACAAATATATTTTTAAGAGATGACACATTTCTACATGGACTCATAGAAACCGTGTCCTTTACTTTTGGGGGGAGAAAATTGTTTTGTGCGGGCTGGACCGCATTTCTACAATATATGGCCCAAAGGTATAAAGCATCCGTCCTAAAGATGGATGCAGATAGGAGGTCCATCTAAAAACAAGTGTAACTAGCAGTTCAAATGTTTTCTTAATATAATTATTATTTTTAGTTTCAAAATTTTCTTTTTCATGTTCATGATCTCCATGTTAAAAGATTATATATATTTTAAAAATTAGGATAAAATTAAATTTAAAAATATATTTATTGCCATGTCTGCATTTCGACAATATGTGGGCTATCTCTAACCTATTTTGTTTTCTTTTATTTTTCTACTCCAACTTAACCTAATATTTTCTACACTCTTTAGGGGTAGCAATGGTTCGACCAGACCCATACCCAGACTCGAAAAGAAACAATATGGGACCCGGACTCAGACCTAGACCCAGACCCAAATGGACTCGACCCAAATATAACATATATATATATATATATATATATATATATGTGTGTGTGTATTATTTAAATATTACAATGACAAATATATAGTTATATTTATTTAAATATTAATTAAATATAATTAAAATATTATATATTAAATATTACTTATAGGGTGCGGTTTGTATAGAGCCTAGGCTCTAAACAATCAAATTAGAGCCTACCTTCAAATGGTGTCGAGAAATGTGGTTTCATTATTGGAAAGCTTTGTGATAGCCTTAAAATATATTTTGATTTTTATTTATAAAGTTCAAAGCTTCAAAAATAGTGTAGATCGACAGATCTATAAAAACTTGAAAATATTGAAAATTGACTGTCTAAAAATGCGTTACAAAATACACTATTTCCAAAACTTGAAATCTATTTTTTTCTCATGTCCATGCATCTTGATGTCAAAATGATCAATTTGAAGATATTTGGACATCAAAACAACCTCTTCTAGTGAACTTTGTGAGGTAGGCTCAAATTTGATTGTTTAGCGCCTCGGCTCTATATAAACTTTTCCATTACTTATATAAACTTTTCCATTACTCATACTATTCAGGTTGGATCCGGGTTGGGTCGACATGGACCTGGACCCGAATAATGTTTGGGTCTGAAGCCGACCCACCAAGTCCAATTCATGAATTCATACTTGGATCCGGATCGCGTCCAGGTTCATTGCCACCCCTACTCTCCCATGTATCATATGAAATTAGGACTTGGGGTAATTCACCCCCATAAACAAATAGGAAAAATATTAAAACAGAGGTTGAAACCCTTATACTATCACAAAGGGGTTAAAAGATTACAACTTTCATTCAAAAGCATACTTCTAAAATTAGAATAAAAAGTTCTATAAAAAAAACTTGGATTCTGTCTTCCTAAAGCTGAACAACTAGAGCGGGAAAGTGAAAAAGACTAGGTTGCCGTGACAATTCAGTAGTAGGAACACGTAAGTTGCATTTTTTAATAAAGAGATTGTGCTCTGTGTTTCTAAAATGGAACAAATAGGGTAAAAATTTAATTTTCCTCCGGGCAACTAATTCTAACGAATTAAGGTAGGAATTATTGTGCTTTCTAAATATCGAATAAAGGCAATTTGGAAAATTTCAAAGTTGATGTTGAGGTAAAAGCAAGCTTTTAAATGAAATATGTAATGTCTTGATCCCTTTTGTGATATTTTAAGGGGTTTCTATCTCTTTTTTGATATTTTTTCGAACAGACTTAGGGTCTTATATTACACATGCATCTCCAAATTTTATTAGAAAATATAGTTCGAATGTCGAAAACTTTACAATAACTTGAAAATCTATATTCAACCTTAACGATAAAATTTTAAATTTCAAAATGATGCAAATTGAGTAGATCTATTAAACACTTGAAAATCTTAAAAATAGACGGTCTAGAAAACGTATTAGAAGAAATATTATTTTTCGGACTTGAAATTATTCATTTTGTTTATATTGATACATCTTGAGGTTACATATCAACTGGTTTCCAACTTTGGAATACTCTTTTATGATGAATTTTTTATGAGCACCTTCTATAGTATAAAGTTGCAACCTCATATAAACTTTTTTCTTGTGATATTTATTAGCTTTTTATCCTCTTTATCATGTTGTCTAATATTTTAAAAATCGGTATGCTTGAAAGGGCCATTGGCTTGACCTGTCTAGATTGGCCGAATCAGTAGAAAATAATTGAAAAAGTAGAGTTTGAGTTGTGAAATCAGTTATTTTGCTCTTTGGATTTTAAAATAAGGATTAAATTTAATTTGAAGTCAAGATTAGGTTGTTTTGATTAAGATTTTTAAGCTAAAAAATAAAAATTCAAAGCCAAACTTAAAAAAGATCCAATTTCAAATTTTTTGTTTCTTCAAATTGGGGCTTCGATACAAGAAAATTTTTAGATTTCATAAAGTACTAAAAAATATCATAATGAATTCATGGCTAGGTGGTTAGGATGGCGGGGAGCCACAAAGTAAGTCTTAGGTTTTATTTCAGATTGGGGGCCCTTTCCTAACTACCAAAACAAATGAATACAAAATAATATAGGGTAGACTAAAATGGAAAATAATAATAATAATAATGAACACAAAATGAGAGGATAGATCAAAATAGAATGGCTAAAAAAAACTCAAATGGATATTTTATTTTAAAGAAAGAATTCCATTTCTATTATGGGTAAAGGACCCGTTCGTAACTTCCCAAAAAAGATAAAATATAAAATTATATAGATCAAAATAGCAAAAAAGAAAAATAATGAATACAAAATGAGAGAAGATAGATGAAAATGGTGGTTCTCATCTAAAAATTGGCTAAGATCTCGAATAGATTTTAAAAAGGAAATTTTAAATTTCGAGTAACTGGAAAGCTAACATTCGACCGCACAAAATGTGTATGTCCATTTTTCACCAAAAGAATTCCTACTCCCATAGGATTATACTATCTCTATACTCCCTCAGGCAAAATTCTTGCTGGGAACAATTTTTAGATCCCAAATTTTAGGGATATCATATCTAGAACTCAATGACCAACCTTAAAGGAAAAAAATTAATTCTTATCTCTATGTGCCTAAAAGTAATAATGCTTCGAGATTGCACAGAAACCATCCAATATTTGAAGGAAAAAAAATCTATATGTTCAAGAACTCAAAATCCTTTTTTTTTCAAACAAAAAAATAATAATAATAATCAACTAGTGATGCTTCAATCCCAAAATTTGAATATAAAAAACAAAAATCTCATAATCGTTTAGGTTGGTCCATTGAGCCAATTGCGTATAGACCATTTTGGGGGGTCTATTACCATTTGGTGTGTCATTTGTCCAATATTGTGAACACCACCTCCAACCCCTGTGGCTTTTGTTTTTTCTAAGTTGCCTCCTGTTTGGTAATGAAAACATCAGACAAAGGGTTATTCTTAAGTGAACTTTTCTTTGTTGTCTGGTGTTTGAAGTACTGGACAGCTAACACATCAAATGAGCTTCGCGAAGTCACCCAGCCACCACGAACCGGTCGGTACGTAGCTGGAACATTCCTCAACCAATTCAGCTATGGGAACTAGAGGCATCAACAGATAGCCGCTCTATGTCGTCACCGCCACCATTGGCAAGTAGAGATCTGCCAAGACAATAATAGGGGATGTGGTGTGCCTCAGAGAAACCAAGAAAGTGGTGGTATACTTATGCAACACGTGAATTAAAAGTTCCAACAAGATTCACATATACAACAATCAGCTCATAAACCCCAAAAAAGGTGTCAAATTTGTGAAAAAAATTGACATACTGCATTAAAGCGTTGCCATCGATTTAATCATATGTACCAAGAAAAAGATACTCCTCAAGCTCTTGCTGTAGTGACTATAGTCAATTCCCAAGACTCAGAATGATTCCTAGACCCCGGTGGCTCAATTTATATGATATAAGACCTAGATAAACTACAAAACCTTCACCCTTACGGTGGTACAGATACATTCATGGTTGCCAGTGGTGAGCAATTGACTATTTCACATGTTGGTGATGCAAATATTGATTTATGGTTTGGAAAATTTAATTTTTCTAATGTTTTTTTGGTGCTAAAGATGAAAAACAA